ACAGTCCCGTCATCTTCTGCTGCAATGCGGTTCACTGCTCCTGTGAAGAATTCCTCTGCACTAGTGGTACAGTGGCTGTTCTCTATGTCCATGCTGTGCACATGCTAGTCCTGCTTGCAAACTTTTGTAAACTGATATAATCTATTGCCATTCTTGCCTCCTTTCCCATAGGCCGGGCATTGTCTTGGCTTGTTCTGGTTGTCACACTGCGTGCAGCTCCATGCACCGGTCTTCTGGACTCTGACTTTGACCTCCACATGTCTCTCTCTGGTTCTGGTCTCTTTTCCTGTAGTATTTTGGATTCTCTGTCACATCCACAGTGTCAGAGCACACTCCACCTTCCATAAGCTTCATTCTGCACTGCCTCCTTTCTGTTGCTTGCGAAGGATTCATGCTGGGTGTTCCAGTACTGTCTCTCTGAGTTTTTTGTCTTAGATCCCAGTCATGATCTGGTTCTCTCATCAGGGACTCTATTAGCCCCCCATGGGCAGTGGGTATCGCAGGCCAGGGGAGGCTGAGCCTCACCAAACAGCCAGGCATGGCCCCACCCACGCTCCGCACCAAGGCCCCCTTCTGCTTCCCTCTCTTCCCAAGCTCTTCTTCCCCAAAATGGGTGGAGGCGGGGGCAGCGGCTTGGGCTAGGACAGGCCGGCCAGCAGCCTGGGACTCGGTGCTGGGGGGTGGGGGAAAGGGGTGGAGGAGGGGCAGGGCCTCAGGCACAAGAACTGGGGCTAGGGGGCTAACTTCCCCAAACGGGTGGTTCATGCGCCGCTTATGTAGCCCCCTCAAAATTACCAGATTGACTGGTCAGCCTCAGATCAGCCACAAGCTCTTCTATAGTTTCACCTTCTTTTTTGAATGCTCAGATTAAAAGCTTCTCTCTCCTATGGTTCATTTTTTGGGGGAGTGCCTCCCACCTCAAATTTCTATCAAATGTCTGATAATCAGCCTCCTCTGCATGCGCCTGTCAAACATATCAAAGAGGCACCTGTCAAACACATCAAGTGCTTCAGGACCTGCTATTGGCATTCACAGTTATCACATTTCCCCTCCCCCCCTTTAAATCAAGAGAGATTCACTGGTTAATTCTCTAGACGGAACAATTTCTGCCTTTGAAATTAACAAACTGCCTCCCTCAGGCCTGTGATCTCTGTTCATTTGTCCCCCTGTCGGTCTGTCTCTAAAGGACGTGACCCTGGAGCCAGACACAGCTCACCCCAGCCCAATGGCTCGGGGAGATTGGACATTTACTCCTGCGTACTGGGCTTTGACAGCTACCTGTCAGGGAGACGTTAGTGGGAGGTGGAGGTGGCAGGTGCAAGGGGCTGGCTCTGGACGTTACCAGGGAGTCTGCCATCAGGAAGGGCTGGTTCAGTTTCAGTTACAAGCAAGGGCCAGGACAGGGCAATCAATGTGTAGTGGAGCCAGCTAGACTTGCCCCAGAGACCTGGCAAGATCAGAGTGTATCTGGACTCCGAAGTTGGGACCATGTACTTCTATGGCACTGACCTCATGGCTCCCATCCATGCGTTCACTGCCTCCCTTATGGGGAAGAGCTGTCAGTTCCTCTGGGTCTGGTTTGTAGGGACCTCCCTTAGGCTGTGTCCCTGAGCCTTGCCCTCTCCCAGCCAGATCTCTGCACATGCAAACCTGCCGATGCATCATAGGATCAGAGGCAACTATCTGGATTGAGGGACAGCCCTTTTTCAATGCACATTGTGCCATCAATGGGCAGATGGCTGTGTTTGCTTAGCTACGAAACCTTATGGGAAGGTTGTTTTCACACTGCGGGAATGGAAATAAACCTGCTTTTAATGAAATAGAACATTGGAAACAAGTTCTATTGCATGCAACTGTACCATCCCTCCCAATCCAGATCATCAGCAAGAGTCAGACACCCAGCTACGTGAGGTTCAGATGCCTGGTTCCCAGGGGGTGAGATCTCCAGGACTGGTCAGACTACCAGTTTTTCTCTCTTTTTCTTTTTTTCCTGTCATTTTTCCAAAGCTGGAGAAGTTTTGAAAAGTTACAGAATGGAAAAAGGAAAAAACTAATTTCTAGATATTATGTTATTATTTATGTCTTTGTATTGGGGTCGTGCCTGGGAACCCCAGTCATGGACTAGGACTCCACTGGACTAGGTTCTGGCCAAACACAGAACAAAAAGACCGTCCCTGCCCCACAGAGCTAACGATCTAAATAGAAACAAAGAAAGCTCCATGGATGCATTTGTTCCTTGCATTCAGTGGCAAGAGAGGAAACAATAGGGAAGAAAAAAAACCCCAAACTCTGAAATTTCCATAGTCCAGAAATCGAAATGAAAATTTCAGTTCAAGACAAAACGAAAAATGCATCAGATTGAAATTCCCCATTGAGGAACCTAGCTGAAAAAACCACTTTCCTGCCTCTCCAAATGATGGTTTGGATGAACTCCCGTTTTCCGGTGGGTGGGAAAAGGGTTTGGTTGGACCATTCCCAGCAGCAAGACTCGGGGTGCTGTTGTCTATTATCTGCGTTGTGTCAGCAGCTGAGAGCTCAGCCACTGGGCGAGACCACACAGGGGCTGAGCAAGTAGCAGAGAGAAGAGCTTTGTGCAGTGACAGAAGCTCTGATGTGGTTCCACACTAACTCACAGACACGGACATGGGTGGGTGTGTTTACGGTGGGAGGGATTCTCCTGATTATAGGCATGAGCCCACAGCTGGAAACCAGCCCTTGGGCTAGCCCCATGCCTCCATCACCCTCCCACAGTAAACCCAGCAAGGGTCAGGTGCTGCTGGTGTAACTCGTGGGCAGAACATCTAAGGCTGAGTTACACACAGACCTGCATCAAACAACCTGTTTATTCCCGCCCCACCCAACCCCCATCTGTGGGACCTCTCTCAGCTCAGGTCAGCAGCATCGTAGATCACGTTGAATGAGGAGGGTGGAAAGAAAAAGTAGTTACCCTATGTCACAGGTTAATTGGCAGCTGGCTTAAAACGAACAAAAGGAAGTATTTCTTCACACAACACACAGCTAACCTGTGGAACTCTTTGCCAGAGGATGTTGTGAAGCCCAAGACTATAACAGGGTTCAGAAAAGAACTAGATAAGTTCATGGAGAATAGGTCCATCAATGGCTATTAGCCAGGATGGGCAGGGCTGGTGTCCATACCCGTGTTTCCAGAAGCTGGGAATGGGTGACAGGGGATGGATCACTTGATGATCACCTGTTCTGTTCATTCCCTCTGGGGGACCTGGCATTGGCCACTGTTGGAAGACAGGATACTGGGCTAGATGGACTTTTGGTCTGACCCAGTATGGCCGTTCTTATGTTCTTACAAGGGTGGGGGAGGTAAGAGCGATGCAGTGCATCACCCAGATGTCTCTGGCAGAGCCAGGAACGGACCCACATCTCCAGGTTCCCAGCCAAGTGCCCTTTCCACCAGGCCAGCAATCTCCTCACTCCAGCTGGCCCCTGAATCTGGCACTGGGGCGCTGTTAGACCCTGACCGCACTGGTGCCAGGCGTTACTGCCCCAGAGCCCTCTGCTGCACACATTCTTTGCATCTCCTTTCATGGAGCCTTTTCCAACAGGCCCAATTTGACATTTCCCGCCTAAGTCTTCCAGGCAGGGCCAGTGATTGCAAACATTGGGCAAGATCCCCAGCTGGTGGGAATCAGCCGTATCTCCATTGGAGTCAATGGGGCCAGATCCCCTGCTGGTGTCAATGGGCCATAGCTCCATTGAAGTCAATGGGGCCAGATTCCCAGCCATTGATGCCGGCTTCCTCCGGGCATGGGGATTGCTCAACCCCCCACTTTGCCCAAGGTCCCGCCCCCCACCCGTCCCCTTCCCTCAAACCCTCACCCTAGTCCTGCCTCTTCCCACCCTGCCTCTTTCCTGCCTTTTCCCACCTAGTTCCACCCCCCCCCCGAGCATGCCCCGTCCCTGCTCCTCCCCCTTCCTCCTAGACCCTCCCGCTCGCGGTGAAACAGCTGATCATGGTGGGCGGGAGGCGCTGGGAGGGAGAGGGAGGAGTTGATCGGCGGGGCCACTGGTGGGTGGGAGGTGCTGGGAGTGAGAGGGGAGCTGGCTGCCAGTGGGTGCCGATGGAGTCGGTGCCTATACCCCCAGCTGGTATCTATTGGAGTCAATGGGGCCAGATCCCGAGTTGGAGTCAATGGGCTGTAGCTCCATTGGAGTCATGGTGCCAGACCCCCCAGCTGGTGTAAGTTTACCAGAGCCCAATTTCTATTGATTAGGCCAGATCCTCAGCAGGTGTAAATCAGTGTTGCTCCACTGGAATGAATGCCAGTTTACACCAATTGATGATCTGGGCCAGTAGTTTCTGCTCTGTAAAAATGTATTATTTGTTGCTAAGGACAAAGTGACTGAATGGTTCAAGGTAATACAGTAATAAACATACCGACCTGATTCTCCACTCGTTCACCCCTGTGTAAATCAGGAGTAACCCCATTGGAGTCACTGGGGCTGGTTCCCTTCCATTTATACTGTGTAGCTTTCGCTGGGCCTGCGTAGCTATTTTCCAGCATAGTGATTCTCGGTCCAAAACTGCCCATGTCACCTGAAGCAAAGTCCCTGAAGTCTTCGTGCCCTCTGTACCTTGGGGGTAACCATCGCTCCCTGCCTCAGAGGGGGCGGTGAAGGTGAACTCATCAATGCATGTGAGATGTTCAGATACCACAGTAATGGGAGCCAGATAAGCGCTGAGAGGTCCATCTGTGATGACCAAAACCCAGGAGCCTGATTCCCAGCTCCCACCCCACTCCCTGCTGTAACCAACTAGATCCCACTCCCTTCCTAGAGCAGGAATAGAACCCAGGAGTCCTGGCTCCTAGTCTGGTGCCTCCGCATACAGAGGCACAAGCCCCAGCCCGGGTGCCTGCCCTGGGCTGCATTCTGCTCAGCTGGCTCGTTATCTCAACACAGGAGATTAGCTCTCTCCTGGCAGGGTTGCCATGTCCCGAGCGTGATTAGAGGTGACCTGTGACTGGGACGAAAGTCCGCCCTCCTTGTTCTGTTGCACTTTGAGTTGTTTTCCAGGCAACCAGAAGCCCCCTTGGAGAGAAGAGGACTGAACCCAGCAGGGTGGGAAATTGCCTGGTCTGCAGCCCCAAACCATATTCTAGCTGCCCAGCACTGCTGAGGGCTCGGCCAGGCATCCAGCCTCGTCTCGGCAGGCGCTTCAAGGGCTGGGAACATGATGGGGATTTGATAAGCAGCCCCCAGAGGATCTGTACGGGCCAGGAGGGGTCAGACGGCAGCTGGGCCTGAGCAGGTAGGAAGGAAGGAGTGCTGGGGCCTTTCAGGTGTAACAAGCAGGCACAATGCCAGCCAAAATCAATGGGGGTTATTAGCGATTTGTAGGGGGGAACATTGTGGGTTAGTGGATAGGGCACTAGACTGGGAAGCAGGACTCCTGCGGTCCATCCCTGGTTTGGGGAGTGGAGTGTGGCTGAGTGGTTAGAGCAGGGGAGTTGGGAACCAGGACTCCTGAACTCATCCCTGGTTTGGGGAAGGGAGTGGGGTCAAGCAGGTTAGAGCAGAGGGGCTAGGAGTCAGGTCTCCTGTGTGATCATGGCTAGTCTATCTATGCCTCAGTTTCTCCTCCATAAAATGGGGATAGTGGTCCCTCCCCTTGTAGGGGGGTTGTGGGGATTATTTAAAGTTGGCTAAGGGGGCTCGGATAGTCCGGCAATGAGGGTGGGGTGGCTCAGAGACATGCCTACAAGTACAGTAGAAAGGACACTCCCATTTGGTGTGGAGGGACAGAGAGTGGAAGTTATCTCTGGCATACTCTTTTTCCAGGGCAGAGATTCTCCTAGAACAGGGGTGGAAAAACTTTTTGGCCCGAGGTCCACATCTGGGTGGGGAAATTGCATGCGGGGCCATGAATGTAGGGCTGGGGCAGGGGGTTGGGGTGTGGGAGGGAGTGCGGGGTGTAGGAGGGGGGTGCGGTGTGGTGTACAGGAAGGGGCTCAAGGCAAGGGGTTGGGGTGCTGAAGGGGTGTAGGGCATACAAGGGGGCTCAGGGCAGGGGGTTGGGGTGCATGAGGGGGGGCTCAGAGCAGGGGGTTGGGGTGCAGGGTGTGGGAGGGAACTCAGGGTAGGGGGTTGGGGTGAAGGGGGAGTGTGGGGTGTGACAGGGGGCTCAGGGCAGGGGGTTGGGGTGCAGGGTGCAGGAAGGGTTCGGGGTGCAGGCTCCAGCCCGGTGCCGCTTACCTGGCGTGGCTCCGGGGTGGCAGCGGTGTGCAGCGGGGCTAAGACAGACTCCCTGCCTGCCCTGGCCCCACGCCGCTCCCGGAAGCGGACGGCACCACATCCCTACGGCCCTGGAGGAGTGGGGGCAGAGGGCTCCGTGCACTGCCCTCGCCTGCAGGTACCTCCCCCAAAGCTCCCATTGGCCGTGGTTCCAGTTCCCGGCCAATGGGAGCTGCAGGGTGCGGTTCCTGCAGGCAAGGGCAGCGCACGGAGCCCTCTGCCCCCCCCCCCTTCCCCAGGAGCCGCAGGCACAGGACCCGCAGAGCCACGGAGGTGGCAATCCCGCGGGCCGGATCCAAAGCCCTGATGAACCGGATCCGGCCTGCGGGCCGTAGTTTGTCCACCCCTGTCCTAGAAGGATCCACTCCGGACAGCAGTTTTCCCCCTGGTTGGTCACAGCAGATCCATATTCCCCGTTGGCTGCTCACATCCTAGCCGTCCTCATGGGCTACGATTCCTTGCTGGGTTACCCCAAGATGAAGGTCTACAGAGAAAAAGGTAACTGCTCCCGCATGGTTCCCAGGGCATCAAAGAACCAGACACCTGTGGGTGCCGGTGCAACTTCACAGGGCGCTACACACCAGCTAGCCATACCGCTGAGATACCCCATCCTCCCATCCACTCCTGGGAAATGGAAGGTTCCCACTGGCCTTTGCTACCCTTTAGTACCCACTATACAGTATAGACGCTCTTTCCCACCCCTCACCCTCTGCTCCCCCTAGTGCCTATTGTACGGTATAGCTGCCCGTTCCTCACCCCTCACCCTCTGCTGCCCCTAGTGCCCATTATGCAGTTTAGCCACCCCTTCCCGAGCTCCACCCTCTGCTGTCCTCTTCCCGTTATACATTGTAGCTGCCCCCTCCTACCTCTAACACTCTGAGACCTGGGGATACCAGTCCTCTCCCAAGTCTCTGATTGTAAATTTAAAATTTTCTATTGAGAATCTCTGCCCAGGGCCCTCTGTCCTTTAGTTATTTCCCAGAGCCTGAGAAAGAGGAATGGAGGAGCTCTTGCCTGAGCAACTGCAATAGCATTTTCTGCTCCTATGTATAAGCTTAGGCTCTCACCTGCTGGGTTGTCTCTCTCCACAGAGGATGTCACTCTGGACCCAGATACAGCTCACCCCAATCTGGCCCTTTCCAAGGACCGGAGAAGTGTGACAGCCACAAAGACAAAGCTAGCTCTGGCCAACAACCCAGGGAGATTCGACATTTACTCCTGCGTGCTCGGCTCCGACGGCTACGAGTCAGGGACGCATTACTGGGACGTGGAGGTGGCTGGCACAGGGGGCTGGGCTCTGGGAATCACCAGGGAGTCTGCCAGCAGGAAGGGATGGTTCATGTTCAGTCCCAAGCAAGGCATGTGGGCCATCCAGCTCTCCAGGGGCCAGTACCGGGAAGTCACTGCGGAATGGAGCCCGCTGGACCCGCCCCAGAACCCTGGCAAGATCAGAGTGTATCTGGACTATGAAGGAGGGGTTGTGTGCTTCTACGATGCTGATACCATGGCCCCCCTCCACGCCTTCACCTCCTCCTTTTCTGGGAAGATCTACCCGTTCTTCTGGGTCTGGTCTGTAGGGACCTCCCTTAGACTGTGTCCCCCACAACCCTCCAATAACTGAGGGCACAGTCTAGAGGCTGCTGCCATTTCTGAGGACATCAATGGATGTTGGATCATGTTTTGTCTCAGCCAGAGATTGAAGCATGAACACCCTGATGCATCTGGATTTTAGCCCATGAGGCAGCATCTCCCTTAAACACCTCTTCGCTGCCTGCCACGCTGCCCCTTGTGCATGGCAAATGCTCCCTAATAAAACCCAAGCAGCTACTACCTTCTCCTCCCCCAGGTCCCTCCTTAATGGTCACCTCTGCCATGATGCCTCCAGAACTCAGCCTGGTGATCAGGGCTAGACAAGTGATCTGCTGTGAATATGACTTTCTCATCTTTCCTATCTTGCTCTACCTTTACCTCTAATTGAAAAGAAATATACCCTGTGTAGCTAGGTAAGGTGGTCCAATTCTTCCCCGTACTGTGAGAGAAATGAGAATTCTGGTTTAGCATGTGTGTTAATTGTTTTGTGTAAGAGGGAATTAATATAGATGTCAGTGCAGCTCTCTCCTTCTAGGTGTATAGGGTATAAACTGGTGATGAATTCACTGAGGCTGGAAATTAGAAGGAGCTTTCTAATGTAGCCTTTTTTCTAGTTAACGTGAATTTTGTGCTGTGGTATTACAGCACCGTGGGTTTGACTTTGGCGGCTACAGTTTCAAGCTTAACAGTGTGAAAGTCACCTCTGCTATTTGCTTTAGAGATAGAATCTTTATGAACACATGAAGATCAAGCATAGTGACCACACATACATTCACAAGTACAAGGTCTCGTCTGTTTTACAAGTTTTATTAAAGTTATGATTACCTGAGTATATAGAAATTCTATACAGACCTATGCACAAGTTACAAATATAGTTATACTCACATCCTCCTAGATAGTGTTAGGATCTGTTGTATCTCTCATGACTTGATCATCAGTAGAGGGATGGTTCCTGCTGGGGTTCCCATAGGGAACTCCATTTTTCTAATCTAGGCGCCCGCTTTATAATTTGATTCTGACTATAACTTATTCTAGGCATGTCCATAAAAGTGTTAACCCTCTTTTCTCTTATTGGTCTGCTGTCTCCTTGAAACTTAAGGGACCCCGATTTTCTATAGGATAAGTTCCCTTTGTTCTCATTAGCATTGACACACAACCTGTATCCTGTGGTTAAGATACATGTCAGAGACAGATTTGCCTTTACAGTATTGTTATGATCTAATATTAATCTTCTGGGTAATTTTTCGCATTACCACCACTTGGTACCTCTTTTCCCATAATCTTAGGGCATTGGGTTATTTCTCGGTCATTGGTTTATGTCATCATTTCTTGTCTTCAAGGCCTAAAATATCTAAACTGAAATTTTGCAGGCCTCAGCCTACAGATTCTTGCATTTCAGCTTGTCTTACTTATGTCTAATGCATTATTCTTTTATATACTAATTAATCTTATACTTTTATAACCCTACAAATTAACTCTAATTAACATACAATGAATATATAACATGTTGATAAATGAAAATAAACTAAAATCATTGGATACACTAACCATCAGAAGAGTGAGGTTTTGGAACAGCTTCCCAACAGGAATCATGGGGGCAAACAATCTATTTGAGGATGAATGAAAAGTTTGTGAACAAGATAATATATGGGGATGCCTGCAAATGGACCATCACCTAGGAGGTCCCTTCCAGTCCTATGTTCCTAGGTGAAAAGAAACAAAGACAAACCATGAGCTTTAACACATTGGGTGCCCCCCTAATTTTCTTGCTTGAGGCAAGGATGTGACAGCCTGTCATGGGATAATTTCCAGAGTGTTGAGACAATATGTGTGTGTGTGTGAGAGAGCAGAGCTGCTGGGTAGGCCACTAGCAGTTTTAAAGAAACTACTTAGGCCTATAATAGATGCTGATGCAAATGGCAGGATTGTAACAACACAAACAGCTCCCTCTCCCAATTCCCTACTGTGGGTGCACTGAGCATGCTCAGGAGGGTTGCTATTTGTGTTGTTACACATGCCGGGGCGCCCCTCGCTCAGGGAGGGAAAAGCTATTCCCGACCCCGTCCTGTGCGAGCCGGGCGCTGGCTGAACGGCCCCCTCGGGTCGGTGTCATAGCGGCGCCCGTGGAGCTTCCTGGCTCAGACCCGCCCTGCCAGCGCCGCCTCCATTGTGAGCCGGGAGCCGGGGCTGAGTCGCTGCTGCTCCCCAGCGGGGTGTGTGCGGGGAGAGCTCTTCCCTAGCGCCCCTCTGTGCCCAGCCGTGGGGGACTTTCTCCGAGGGCTGGAACCAGCCCCGGGCTCTGCCGACACCAGCCCCTGAGCTGCAGCCTGCAGGTGAGGGGAGAGACCCGGGGGAAAGGGCTGGGGCCGGCAAAGTACGCAGCTGCCTAGGTGCTCCAGCCCCGCCCCTTCCCCAAAGCCTCTGCTCTGCTGCGCCCCGGCCCCGCCTCTGCCTCCACTCCCCTGAGAACTGCAGCAGGGGCGGGCCTGCTCACTGGCGGCTAGAAGTGCGGCGACCCAGACCCAGCCGCGCCGCTGGTGAGTGCTGGGGGGGTTCTCCCCCTACCCCCAAGCCAGCCCCATCCCTCACAGTCCTGCCGCCTGCGGTGGGGCTGCCTAGGGCCCCAGAATAGCTAGGAACGGGCCTGCCTGCGAGGCTTGCCTGTGCACATAGATGCCAACTGCACTTTCACCGGAGGGGAGAATGCATGGAAATAACAGTGGGAGCAAATTCAAAGGGTGATCCCGGACAACAGGGCAATTGAGATGGCTGAGGGTTTTCCCAGCAGGGCAGAGTCCAGAGTGTCTGTGCATGGCTTGGGGGGAATCTGAAACTTCTCCCCCGCCCTTCCCACGCTGACAGGCTGCAGAGTAACAACCACCTTTTGCTCCAGATTCACTTCAGATTGTTACATCACTCTAGGGGCCGGGGAAGGGAAATGGCTGCAGTGGACCCGGCTCAGGTAGGGGATTGTCAAGGGGATGTGCGGGTGGCGGCGGGGGGCTTTGCCTGAATGTGCGGTGGGAAGGGGAGGGAGAAGGACATGCAGGGGAGGAGACCAGTAAATGAAATTCCTGCTGGAAGCCTTTAATGTCAGGAGATGGGCCTGAATATCACCAGCTTTTAAGCAATAAAGTCCCCCCCCCTTCAGCTGCCTGTCCCCACTCCCCTCCCTGGCATGCGTCTCACTGCCTCCCCCCCCCCCCCCACACACACATCTAGCACCCTCCTCAGTGTGCTGCCTGTGGCACTCTTTACCTCAAGGTAGCACCCTGGCACCCCCATATTCACCTCTGTGATATGAGTATTGTATGTTTTGTACAAAGTATGCCTTGTGAGGTATCATTTAAAAGCCTTAATCTGTTGAACATTAATATCCTGTTGGACTGTATGTGCTAGCATTCTATGTGAAGTATTGCCATACGTGTTACTGAAATATGTTGTGAGGTTGGGAACACCTATAATCAGCCTTTCAATTACAACAAAGGAGTAGCCATCAATACCCAGGAGGTTAATCGCTCATCAACACATGGTTCTCTAGCCCAGAGAAGGCACATACACCATAGAGACAGACTAATCCACATTACAGCAAATATCTTTCCAGAAAGCTGGAAGAACGTATAAGAGATGCAGTGACATCATCACTTGACTCCTTCCCCTCCCCTCCCCCATCTTAACACCTGGAAGTTTGGCTGAAAGACAAGGGCTTTGAACTGAGGAAGTTTGGCCCCAGGCTGGAAGGTACCGTAGTCCCAGCCAACGTATTGAGGACCTGTAACCTGCTTTTACCATCTGTCACAGTGAGAAAAGCTGTTTGATACAACTCGTGCTTAGACTAAAAGATTAGGATTTAGAATGCATGTTTACTTTTTATTTCTTAAGTTAACTATATCTGACCTTTATGCCTACTACTTATAATCACTTACAATCTATCTTTCTGTAATTAACAGACTTATTTTAATGTTTTATCCTTACCAGTGAGTTTGTCTAAAGTTCTTGGGAAATTTCAGATTACAAAAACTGGTGCATTTCCACTTCCCTTTGACGAAGTGGCGAACTAGGTAATGAACTTACACTGACCAGGCTTCTGACCAGTGCAAGACAGTACAGTTCAGGGATGCAAGACTGCGGAGCTGGGGGGAATTGCCTGGGGTCTCTTTATTGATGGTTCATGAGTGGCTGGGAGATCATTCATGCAACACACGTGTGTCCCTGCCTGTGGATGTCTGTGTAAGTGCAGTGCCTGTCAGATGCTTGTAGCTTGACATCAGTATCACAGAGGGAGAGGCAGTCCAGGTTGGTGGAACAGAGGCTCATCAGTCACACAGTCCAGCCTGTACCCCAGCCTGTCACAGCCTCTCAAACTACGCCTCCCACATCCCCAGCACTCTCCTCAGTCTGCTACTAGAGAAATTCTCCAGCCTCCATTTTATCTGCCTCATCTCTATTTCAGGACAGACAAGAGCTGCTCCACTCTATGCTGCTGATTTTAAGCATGCTCAGTACTGAGATAGGGTGAAAAATTCAGCTAATTGGCAGAAAGTCCATAATTTCTAAGATGGTGCCCTGACAAAGAGCCAGATATGAGTGTGTGTGTATGGACAGAATCACACCTCTGAGGTAGAGTCTAGTGAGCATGTGCAAAATTAGCAGCTACTGAGCATGTGTAGTATGGGGTGAGGAAGCCCGTCTGTTAGCTGATCAGCAGGCTGGTTACAGCCCACTCATATCAGTTACAACTTGTCCTAAACGTCAGAGCTGTCAATCACATAGTGGTTAATACTGAGCATCTGCAAATGAGGTAATTGCTTCTAAAACTAGAAAGTTATACTAGAAGAGAGCCAGCATGCAGGAGGGGATTTGGATTAGAAAAAAAGAGTCAATCCGGAAAAGTGGGACAAATTAGAAGCCAGCAAGGGAAGCCAAAGAAGAGCTACTGGAAACATATTAGAAATGGTGCTGCAGAGAGAGAGAGAGAGAGAGAGAGAAAATCAGAGTGGAGCAAAACTGACTGACCAGGGGCTGAACAGCAATAACATTTATAAAGCAATAACAGTGATTTAAAGGGATACTAACGGATTTATAAAGTAAACCTGCTATTCTTTCAATTATAGTAGAATATAAGCATAAAATTGCAATTTAACTGTGTAAACTTTAAAGCAATTTAAGAACTGCTGTCAGCAATTTGTTACAAACTGGCCATTTGTAGCAAAGTGCTTCGCTTAGAATCATTTAAACTGTATGCTGTTGCAGTTTCAATGCTTTGTAATTTGCAGTAAGAGATTTGTGTTTATTTTCTATTTCTAGATTAGATTGTAGTAGGGATTATTAGTTACTTTAATAAAAAGATACTTTGTTGTTTAGGAAAGCTTACTGCCTGTGTCAATTACTTTATCTGAAGGTTATATCTGTGTCCTTTAGTATTTTCCTTAACAACTCTGGAAATGTATACCTTGGAGAGGACAGATTAAGGGAGCAATAGGCAGGTCATTTACCTAAGGGCACACAAAATCTATTTTGGGGTAACAAGTCTGCTGCCTGTCCCTCCCTCCCCAGTGTGTCTCTGAACCTCTACGCCCGCAGCACCTTCCTCAGCTTGCTACCCACCTCCCCCCACAAGTAAATCCCCCTGCATCCTCTTCATTCTGCCTCCCATACCACCGTCTCCTGCTGATTATTCCCCTCCCCCACATCCCCCTGGGGCCTCTTCCAACTACCTCCTGACACGCACAAATCCCTGCACTGTCAAGGCTCAGGCCTTGGCTACACTCGGGACTTCACAGCGCTGCCGCGGCAGCGCTACCGCGACAGCGCTACCGCGACAGCGCTGTGAAGCACGAGTGTAGTCGCGCCACCAGCGCTCCGAGAGAGCTCTCACAGCGCTGTATGTACTCCACCTCTCCGAGGGGAATAGCTTGCAGCGCTGCGAGCGAGCATGCAGCACTGCAGGCTCTGATTACACTGGCGCTTTACAGCGCTGCACTCGCTGCGCTCGGGGTGTGGGGGGGCGTTTTCACATCCCTGAGCGCAGCAAGTTGCAGCGCTGTACAGTGCCAGTATAGCCAAGGCCTCAGTCTGCCTCCCACTCATCCCCCATGCATCATCCTGTCTAATCCTCAGTCTGCTCCCACCCCTTCACAAACACATTCCCCTGTGACCTCCTTTGCTGCCTCCTGCCCCCACTCAGTTGCCCAGACCACCAACGGGTCCCACTCTTCTGTAACGGCCTCAGCGCCTCCAAGAACAAGTGTCTGGGCTCCAGCCTTGCTGCTTCATGCCGTGAGCTCTGCCCAGCAAGTCCAAAGGAGCTAGACTCCTGGGCAGAAACCTGCCCACTCTGCAGGGACCAGTGCATCTCAGCCAGGATTTGCAGTGACACCCGGCAGCCTTTTCTAAACAGAACAGGGTTTATTAGTGAGCGGGGACCCAGCACAGGGAAGCCCTGAGGTTAGCAGAGAGAAGCAAAGGTTAAGCCATAGCCCATCCTGGTCAAGCCAGTGCAGTTAGCCAGCCAAGATGTGATGGATTTTATTACTGGCTCTT